TGCCTCGACTTAACGGACCCAATCGTGAGGCTTGCCCGCCCTCCTGCATTGCACACCCTGCCTGACATGACCAGACTGTCTGCGCACACCATGCGCATAGTATCACTCAGGGCAGGGGGGGGGGGCGAACACCCTTGTGCGCAACATTCGCATTGTATCCAGAGTAGACGTGGCACGGTGTCGGATCGCCGACATCATCGAACCATCGGCATCGATCATTTACCCTAGGTGTAGGTTTTTTTCGAATATTGGGCGCCGTCACCTTTCCCCCCAGTGCAGTCATACCGCTCAGTGTGCCTCCGTGCTCATGCCATATGCTCCTCCTGGCCACCTTCCCTCCTCTCCCTCTCATCTACATCAATGCTCCTTTGTTGCTACGGCCTACGCTCAGCAGGTGGCCGCGAGCAAGAAACACATTTGTAACTACCACCAGGGCTCGGCAGATGGCAGCGTATAGTAGCGCAGCTGGCATGATCAGCATGATTGTGCCGCCGTCCGCAGATCCTATGTCCAGCAGTACTGCGGTCGAGTCCGGTTCCGCATCCACCTCTATGCCGTGCACGTTGTTGCGCTCGGTAGTTGGTAAGTGTTGCGTCAGTCCTGCGGCATCCAGTGCGCTCCGCACATCGTTCGTACAGTCTGCCAGGAGCTCACAGAGCACGTCTGCCAACGGCGGCCCTGGGAAAACCGAGGGCTGCGGCCAGGAACACCCGCTGGGGGCCTTCGCAAGTGAACCACGACGTCTTGCAGCACTTGTCGATCTGCTCGAGTACGTGTGCGCCCACATGCTCTTGTTGCGCACCAGCCTGCAGTAGTGTACCATGCTGCTGTAAGCGTCGCGCGAGCTCATGCACAGCTGCTGCTGTCAACCCCGCTGCCCTCGCAGTACAAGCAATGGAATGATCGTCGAGCGTCGAACAGAGTAATGTCTCTCTCGACGCCCGGTAGACTGCCTGCACCACGTCCAAGAACAATGCACCAAAGGACAGTTTACGCGCTGCTGCTACTGCTTGCGCCAGTCTGACGATCAGGGATGTATGCGCGGTGCCTCGGCCGGGGATCCCCCCGAACTGAGAGCTTCAAGCTACCGATATCAACGCAGGCGATGGACGGTTCCGAAGGCAGCGCCGCGATGCGTTGCCGATATTCGAGAAGACGAGGATAGACTTGGAATGTGTGCATTGGCTGGGATCGGTAGTGGCCGATTAAAGTAGTTCTCTATAGGAAGCACCTTCCACTGCAACGGCTCAACCACAGCAAACGAGCAACGAGGGGCGCCCGCAAAGGGAAGTTTTTAGTTGCATGGACGTATGAGGAGGGGCTTGGGACAGGAGGGTGTATTGCAGCAGTGGTCCTCCTCCTCCTCCTCCTGCTCCTCCTCCTCCTCCTGCTCCTCCTCCTCCTCCTTCTCATGATTTCATTTTTCTTACACATAACTTCTCCCTGTCTCACCCCGAGGCATTTGTTTACGGCGGGCCGGGCGTTTCGCCTGAGACTTCTCACCATTCATGACTCTGAAACTTAAGAAGTGGCAACAGTTTCACAGATGCAGGGTGGGTCATTTTCAAAATGTGGCTCTCGCCTGAGCGCCACGCAAGTTCGTTTTAAAAATGTGCAAGGGCTTCACGGATTGAGGGCGGCTCTTTTTTTAAATGTGGCCCTCGTCTTAGCGCCGCGCACTTTCGTTTTACACAATTGCCAGAGTTTCACGGATTGGAGACAGGTGGTTTTCAAAATGTAGTTCTCGCCTTAGCGCCGCGCACATTCGTTTCACAAAATTGCAAGAGCTTCACGGAATGAGGGCGGGTCGTTTTCAAAATGTGGTTCTCGCCTCAGCGCCGCGCACATTGGTTTTACACAATTGCAAAGAGCTTCACGGATGGAGAGCGGGCCGTTTTCAAAATTCGATCTCGCTTTAGCGCCGCGCACATTCGGTTTACAAAAGTTGCAAAGGGTTTCACGGATGGAGGGCGGGTCGGTTTTAAAATGTGGTTCTCGTTTTAGCGCCGCGCACATTCGTTTGACATCATTGCAAGAGCTTCACGGATGGAGGGTGGCTCTTTTTGAACATGCGGTTCTCGCCTTAGCGCCGCGCACATTTGTTTCAAAACTCGCAAAAGGTTCATTGTGTTGGAAAGATTCAGGATTGTGCGGGTGCAGAACTTATGTTAACTCGCGATGTCGAAGTCCCAAAAATTGCGTTATGGCTTGATTCTGGATCGTCAAGACGCTGCAGTGAAGTTGATCCGTGGCGCTGAAATCCTGAGAACAATGTTTTGGCATGCTTCAGGATCTCCAAACGATTGTCATCCAACGAGGCGCTTGGAGGCTTGGAGGGGGGAGTAATTCCAACATCGTTGATGACTCTTGGGATTACACTGGTCCTCTTCCTCCTTCTCCTCCTCCCCCTCCCCCTCCTCCTCATCTCTTCCTCCTCCTCCTTCTCCTCCTCCCTCCTCCTCCTCCTCCTCTTCCTCCTCCTCCTCCACCTCCTCCTCCTCCTCCTCCTCCTCCTCCTGATGGGCCCTTCTGGGCTTGGAGGGGGATCGTTGCTGGGTGCACTTTTGCGACCACCCTCATCCGTGTCTATTCTATTCGGGCGCTCGACGCGATCTCGCTGCCGGTGCAGATCCACTTTAAGCTCTACATCGACGATTCGGGTCTGTCCGGCATTGGGTCGAGAGCCTACATTGTTCGGCACTTGCCTCCTGCCGCTAAGCTCCTGTGTAGTGTTTTAGAGGAGGATGTGGGGGCGGTGGTTAGCACGGATGTTGGAAAGCAATCGGTTATTTGTTTCTCTCGTACTTTGGCGCGTGACCTCGGGGAACGGTTGGGTGGCGTCGTGGGGCCTGTTGTCAGCTCCGCTCACAACCTTGGAGTGGGACTTCGAGCTGCTTCGGCATCGACGCCAGGCGGCCAGGGTGCTCCAGCCATCGGCGGCTGGTAGGAGTCTTACGGCTTTGCTCCTGGCCCACCAGGACCCTACTTGGTACGCTGCGGTCGCCCCGATCGTGAGATGGTCGAAGGAAATTCGTACTTCCCACCATCGTTTGTGTTCGTATTCGATCCCGTTGCCCGCATTGAGGGCTGCTTGGGAGGTTTTTTTTCCCAGGAGTCGCCTTTGTGGCGGAGTGTGGCTGGCCCCGTGGGGGCCCTCCGGAAGTCTCTGGAACGCATCTCGTGGTGTATGCCCAGCTTCGGAATGATGGTTACCGATGCTGGCCACACGATCCGTCTCACTAAATACTTCCCCCGCCTCTTGAAGAGCTTGCTGAAGAAAGCTGTTTTGAGGTCTTCGGAGTGGGATTTGGGAGCCAAGCTCAACATGAATTGTCGTGCTTGCTGCGACGGGGTCCTTTTATTTATCTCTCTTCCACTAAGTACACCCTGTTCCAAAAGGGGTGCATTCGATCTCTTTTTTGCCAAGCGATTTACACCCGCCACCGTGCTGCCAGCTTAGGTTACCAGCTGGATTCGACCAGCTTCCCGCTGTGTGGAGACGCGGTGGACACACTAAGGCATCGTTTGTGGGAGTGCCCTGCTGTACACGAAGAGCGGGATGAACTCGTCAAGCCACGTGTTCAACAGTGGGCGGCCGAAAAGTGATGATGCCTTGGCGGTTTATAGTGTATTTCCTCACCCGGGGGATCTATTTCCAAAGCTTTTGACCGATGGCGGCATTCAGGTGGAGTGGGTGCAGGGCAGCCCCCAGGACCTCGACCAGATTTTCGAAGGTGACATGTTTATCGATGGGTCGCGCTCTCGAGTCCTCCTTCCCGAACTCAACCGCGCTGGTTGGGCATTCACCTTGGTGTGCAGGCGTTCAGGTCGTGAGATTGTTCGTGTTCGGGGGCCGGTTTGGGCACCGTGCCCCCAGACCCCGCAGGCGGCCGAGTTCTAAGCTCTGTCTGTGTCAATCCAATGGTCCACAGGTCCGTGTGATGTTTTTCTGACTGCCAGAACTGCTTTGATTTTGCGGCATTGCCTTGGCCTGAACAGGCTTCGGCGAAGCGCATGGTTTCTGGCATCGCTCAGTTTGTCAGAGAGCACTGGCCTAAGATTCGCGTAATCAAGGTTCGTGCCCATCTCGACGTGGATCAGGCCACTGACGACTGGGACCGCTATCTGAGGCAAGGCAATGAGTGGGCCGACGTGTCGGCCAAGCAAGCGGTTTCTTTGCATCCCGCGCCTCTGCCGTCTGAAGCTGATGAGCTGGACAGGCATCTGGCGGTGGCCAAGGCGGCATGGCGACTTGCTGCCAAGTTGTTGCCACTCTGGCCTCGTCTGGACATGGGGCCAGTCGTCCAGCGTATTTCTGCACCGCCTGCGCCTTCGCAGACGCCGACCACCCCCCACAGGTGGCGCTGGGTGGGCAATTTTTGGCAGTGCATTGCTTGCATGAGAGGGAGGAGGCGGAACTCGATGCGTTTGCCAGCAGGGGGATCCTGCTCCCTGGCGTTGCGGGTGCAGCCAGCGGCCCTCCCTGAACTCGGGCACCGGTGTGTGGTCATTGACTGCTCCGACGGCTCTTTTTTGTGTGTCTGCCAGCGCTGTAACTCCACGACGTCAGGCGCCAGGCTGGCTAATTTGGCTAAGCCTTGCAAGCCAGACAAGCAAGTGTGCCACAGCAATCCGTGGTTGAAGCTGGAACGTGGGCTCCATCCTAAAAAGGCTGGTGTCACTGTTGACCTTGACATGTTTTGCCGTATTTAGGGCTTGCGCATGCCCCGCCGTTGCGCCCGCCACGCCGCGGTCGTCACCTTGGCTGGATGGAGGGTTGACCTCAAAAATCCTCCTCCTCCTCCTCCTCCTCCTCCTCCTCCTCGTCCTCCTCCTCCTCGTCCTCCTCCTCCTCCTCCTCCTTCTCCTCCTCCTCCTCCTCCTCCTCCTCCTCCTCCTCCTCCTCCTCCTCCTCCCTCCTCTGCCCTCCACCCTCCCCCACTTCCCCTGCCGCCCTGGCAGCGGCACCTCCCGTGCCCGATGCGTCCCCCCCCCCCGAGGAGGAGATGGCGGGGCGGCGCTTGGGCCGGGCGCCGCAGCTGGCACGCCGGCGGAGGCCAGGACGACTGGGCCGCCCAGGACCGCCGGGCCGCCACCGCATCGACAACGTCGTCGCCGTCGCCGCCGGCATCGTCGTCGGCGTCCTCGCCGCCGCCCAGGCACGGCGTGGCGTTTTCAGTCCAGGCGGTTCTCCTCGATCTCGGCCTCGATTTTTGGGGGCCCGTCGCCTCGGGCCTCGTGCCAGTCCAAAGCGGCTCCGGGGCGCGAGGCTGCGGGGAAGGGGTCGGGAGCTCCCGAGGCAGCGGAGTGAAAGTTCATAGCGGAGACGTCTGGGCCGTGGGCCGCGTCGTTGTCGTCCTCGTCGTCCTCCCCGCCGCCGCCGCCACGACGGCGGCGGCGACGGCGCCGGGGCGCCGTCAGCTTCGAGGTAGCACGCTTGCGCTGCCCGGGCGTGGCGGCCGAGAAGGGTGGGGCGGGGGGGACGAGTGTGTATGCTCGTGGCAGCCTCGGGCCTCCCCGAGGGGCCTCGCGTCGCCGCGGCCGGAGTCGCCTCGAGAGCCGGGCAAGGACGCGCCCGGGAGATGTCCCCGAGCGCGGGATGGCCGAGCGCGCCGGGATGTACGTGCACCTGGCCATCTCTTGTCTCATCTCCGGCCGGCATCGTCTACCTGATGGTGGCGGCGCGGACATGGCAGGGCCATGATGGGCTCAACCCTGTTGACGGGGGGAAAGGGGGACATCAGTGCGGGATCCACCCAGGGAGATGTCCCGGGGTCGCTTCTGACGCCCAGGACCCCGATCGGGCAGGCACAGGAGAAGGCGTTCCAGAGCGCTGCGGCAGACTCTCGGAGCGTTCTGGAGGGCGCTGGGACCGCCGCGGTGCCCGAGCAGGTCTCCGCACCCGCCAGCTCCCGGATAATCCCGATGTGTCTTCGTCCTGGCTTTCTGTCGGGCGTGTCCCCCTGCAGGGGGGCGTTCGACGAAAAATAAAAAATGCACAAAAATAACCCCAAAACGTCAAAACAAAGGTTCAAAAAATAATCCCCAGACTATTTTTTGATTATGTGTTGCTTATTCATGTTTTTTTTCGTCGAAAATCCCCCTGTAGGGGGACAGGCCCGACTTCATCCTGCCTTCGTCTCACCAGACTTCCCACGCTGTGAGCACGTCGGTGCCAGCGGTTCTCTCGCGGTTTCGGCGTCCAGGCCCCGAGTCTTGCGCAGCGCCTGCGGGACGGGAGCGACGACCGTGAGCGCCCGAGGCAGGGCGCGCCGCGCAGATCCCCGCCAGGAAGGAGAGGCGTCCCGGGGGCCCTTCCGCCGCTCTCGGGCTCTGGGAGCCCTCGCTGGACCCTGGGACCATCAGCACAAAGATCCTGGCGACGAGCTGGTCCTGGAGAACGCTCCGGGACCCGGGGCCCGGTCCTCCCAGCGCCTCGGGGCGAAGGGAAGGTCCCGACGATGGGCCAGGGCCCGTTTCCACGGCCCGCTGCGACCAGGCTTCAGCCGGGCATGCCCCTCTACAGGAGGAGTGCTCAATGAACAGTCCACAGCATAGTCTGGTGACGATTGGTTGACCTATTGTTGCTCATGCTTGCACATTTTTGGGGCCATCTCGGTCTCACGATCGACCTTACAATCGTCCTCACTATCGATTCCGCTATCGATCTCATTATCGATCTCACCGATGTCAAGATCCATAGTATCAATTTTCAAATCATCCACTGATTTGGGTTTTCTCAGGTCTAATGTTTGCACATGTTTGGGGCCATCTCTTACTCTTCCTCCAAGATCCGCCTGTAGGAGGACATGCCCGACCTAAGGCCAGGGCCCGCCTCCCTCGGGGAGGAGACGGGCCTCGGCCGGCGTCCGTGCCGGCGGCCTCGCCGCGGCCTTCTCCGCCCCGACCCCCCGCCCTTCCCCCGAGCTCAGAGGGTTCGGGGAAGCGTAGGACTCGCATACAATCGGACTCGATTGGGCAGGACACGCGAGAGGGCACGCGACCCTTCCGAGGGCCACGTTGCCATAGGAATGCAGGAGGCACGGGTCGCGAGACAGAGGACACAAGAGCACCCCTGGCTTGGCATGGTCGACCTACTAATCCGGGCCGACGGTAAGCCGGAACTCGGGTATGCCGAAGTTTTTTGGCGAGCGCGTCCTGGATTTTGACGGTCCAGTTTCCGTGGGATGTTTGCAGCGGGAGCTCGCGTCAGATTTCAGATGGGGCCTCGTCATTTTGATGCTGGCCCCGTCAGGCCAACCCGAGTCCCCCGCACCCGAGTCTTGCGTCTGCCCGAAGGGTGGAGGCTCGGCCTTGGCACAGGGAAGGCCGGTGGGAGGGGGCGGGCGCGCTCGATTGACAGGCCTGCAGGCCAGCGGCCCGGGGGCAGGGAGGAGGAGTTAGGAGGAGGGGGAGGGGGAGGGGGAGGAGGAGGAGGAGGAGGAGGAGAATGAGGAGGAGGAGGAGGAAGAGGACGAGGACGGGGAGGAGGAAGAGGACGAGGAGGAGGAGGAGGAGGAGGCGGAGGAGGAGGAGGAGGAGGAGGGAGAGGAGGAGGGGCGGGGGCGGGGGGCGCATG